TGCAATTCAAACTTTACGCTCTATTATCTACTACCATAACTTAAAGATTTTGTTTGTGTAGGGCTTAAAACGTGAAAACGACGTAAAACTATTTTAAAATGTAACAAAATTAAACTTACAGTCACTTGAATAAGAGTTATATTACAATATTTTAGTATATTTTTCATCCTGGTTCAGCCATTCACCAAGCTATATATATATATATATATATAATAGCTAACTATTACACGTTAGATGGCGCTGAAATTCATTTTTCGTTACACTGAGAACTCACGGATTCACCCGTGTCTGCCGCGGGACCGCGGCATCTATAGTATGTAAAATTAGTAGCACATTTCACGTCGCGTTTTACGCCTGTAGTGGTAACGGTTGTTTGCGGTTGCTGCGGCAGGGTACTAGTAGAACTGCGCAGGACGCGATGACCTGCGCGCTTGGCGGCCGTCGTCGCCCGCACACTTTGGCGGTCGGTTCAGGCGCAATGTGGTGCAGGCGCACGCGGGATGAGTTCTCTATTAAACATGCGACTTGCAATTAACTCCCACTAACTTCCTTTCGACTAACGGTCCGTTCCGCAATAGCAACGGTTTCGTGCCCGCAACCGCGGCAGCTACGTGCCCGCACAAACTTGCAGGGTCGTGAGTATTGAAATAAAACCGCTGTCTAGCAGCACCGGCGGGCGCGGATGGAAACTTCTCCGTGAATTGTTAACCTTATTAACCTTAAACTGACGCTACTCAACGAGTGATGTGGTCCTACCTAATCGATATTTGGAAACCATGTGACTGTTTTTAATATTAAAAAAATATTCCATTTTTCATACTATATCTACACTGGTACTGGTGTATTATTAAATTAATATAAATTATTATTATTTTCTCAATGGCGGCTACTACGCTTGGACCAGTGTCAGTTTTATAAGAATAATATAAAAAATATGGCGACAGTCGCCAGTGTCAATTTTCCATTATACGTTACCACGGGTTGGTGGAGCAGTCACTGTCAAAAGTAAACTCGAACCATCAACAAATTTAATAAATTAAATTATGTTGTTTTTTTTTATGAAGGATTTATGTAATTTTCTATAATTGTTTCTAATTTATTTTGCATGCACAAGTAAAATAAAGCTGATTTTGTTTTATTAATTTTTTAAATGCATTTGCTATGAAAAATTGAAACAAAGTCAGAAATAGTAATAAGAAAACCCATCTTTCGATTTTCCTGCAGCTTCAATCCAACCTTCTTTTATTTTGAACTCATTGGAAAAACTTAAAAATTAAAAATACTCTACATTTAATCTGCGAGTACAATGGAATTTAAATATCTAAAACACATAAATTTTTCTTCAAGCAACAGCAACATCCAAATTGACATGAAATTGAAACGGTTGTCCGAAATATGAGTTGTGTTAAAGTTACTCGAAATAAAAAGTTTTGTAATAATAATAAAATAAAATAAATCAATTTAACGTGAATGCTTTTCGCTTCGATATTTTAGGGACTTTAATTACAAAAATCATAATAAGAAATTCAAACATTTCAGTAAAAATTTATTGTCGATAAACATCAGTCTTCGTAAATGAACATCACTATATTCGAGTCTTTCACTCCAATGTGACTGCCTCAGTGGCCGAACGGTTACCATGCCGGACTGCTGTTCGATTCCCGGGCCGGGAGAAATGTTTTATGGCTTACATTTATTTCTCTCGTGAGTTTGGGTGTAATTTGTGGTTGTCTACGTGTGTGTCCATGGCACCCGCGATACAGGGTTTCCCTAGTGCGGGGCTATGTTGAGTGTGTGCGTTATTATTATTATTATTATTATAATGTTTACAAGGTGTATCGCTACAACTTGGCATTTTCACGTTTTACGAGAGATCTTGTATGTACAACGATTGCCATGTCACTGTGGCGATGTTTGTAGGCGTGTCACCTCGATGTGGTCATTTTGACCATATCGAGGCGACACGAACCCCGCCCCCATACCATGTCTCCCCTTTTTTGCTATATCTATGATTTCTGCCGCCAATCTGTAATGTGACCATTATTGCGTTTCGTCTTTTATAACGGTACTGGTGAAATTACAGACACATAAGACTTGTCAACTTATGTCTCAGTCCCTCAGATCTTTGTGATTTAAAGCTTTTCAGTGGTACTAGTAAAAGTTTTAATAAAACAATCATAACTGTTACGGACAGGGTCGTGGTGCATACCACCAGCTTACTATTCTTCGTTCTGTCATTTCGTATCATAAAAAAAGGACTATTTAAAAAGCAATAAATGGTCGTTTGTAAATTAATAATGTAGCCGGACCACCACACCAATTGCCTGGTCTCGGAATAGGGAATTCCTTGTACTACGAGTACCAGAGTAACAGAATTCACTCTGGGGTACTTCCCAGAACACCCAGACGAGACCAATTTAGAAACGTTCGTTACTCAAATTGGTCCTACCGGGAATTGAACCTGAGACGTCCGCATCCAGAGCCCACAATGTAAACCGTTAGGCTTCCGAGGTCCTCAAAATTAAACCAAGTGCAATAGTTAATTTGATTTGTGCACGCTAACACAAGCGTTTTTTTTTGAGTATTTGACGTCATTATTCTTAAACATTCTTGAACATCGTGTAGATCACGTTTTGTTGACACTTTAAGAGAAGAACTTTTCGTTGTCATGTCTCACAGTCTAAGTGACTTTGCCTGTAGCGTTATTGTTTACATCATTCTTGAGATTATTGTACAAACTTTGTACTTATGGTTACAACTCGACCGAATTATCAGTGGACCTGTCAAAATAATTACTCTTTGTAACAGTATGTAGCGGGGCGTAGCAGGTAGCATTCTATAAACAGGCAGGATATGAAGTACGTGTTTATTGACGTAGCAACTGGTTACAGTACAGGTACGATCAGAAGGGTCTGCGACAGCAAGTACAGGAGGGTCTACAAATACGGGGGCTACGAAACCTGTCTCATTGGGGTATTTAGCAGACTAGGCACTATCACGTCCCAAAGAAGCCCACAAGTCTTGCGGAAGCATAAGTAGGTGGTGCTACGGGATACTCGAGCTGATGAAGATGCGGTAACTAGGCTTTTCGACCAGCTGTCCCAGAAGAGGAAGCAGAGGCATATTACCATAGCACGGATTTCAATAAAAATTCGTCTCTTGGCGAGTACATTGTACGTTGATGAGAACAAGGCAATTCTTTTTTCTTTTTTTTGGCATTGACACTTTACAGTTGGCCGCTGATGGCCTTGGCTGCACCACCGGATAGAAGGGCGAGCTGAAGGCTATCTTCACTCTTAATTTAATATCAATACTTGTTGTGAACACTCTGATAGCGTGTTCTATTTTGATCCCAACTCCATCAAGCGGCAAGGTAAGGTTAATATATTGTTTTTTTTTTAATAATATTAAGTGACGGGACCGACAAGTCATGCGCCTGATGGAAAGCTACACGCCTGTCCATAAGCGCCCAGTTACACGAGGAGAAAGTTTTGGGCGACCGCGATGTGCGCGACCGCCGCGCGGCGACCGCCCAGTTACCACGCCTTCATGTACATTAGTGGCGAATCTCAATTCTATTTATTATGCAACAACATTTAAATTCCTCTCAATAAAATTACCGGTCGTCGTGCGGGCCGTCGCGTATTCACCAAATTCAAGCCCGGCTATCCCGCGTGCCCGGAACGCTCATTTAAATTAAAACGTAGAAGCTCGTGTCGAAGAAATTCGTGTCGAATAAGTGCGATAAAACACGTCCGATTTCGTGTCTTATGGTCGGATTCGACTATCGGATCGGATTCACCCAATACACGTCCGATAGGCGTCCGATTCTTTCGTCAGACTTTTTCTGAACTAACTGTAATGTTGCTAATTTATGGGGAATTCCTCAAATACAGGGAATTTCACCTCAACAACTCGTTCGGGGATTTTGTAGAAAATGAAATCCATATTTATACAAATTAATATTTAATCATGAACAGGACCGGCAATGGTAGCATGAAGTTTTGAAGCTGCTTTCTTTTAGAAATATTTATGTTAGATATGTCTCATTCTACGACGTAGTTATATTATCAATTAATTAATCAAATTTATAAAAAAACGCTACGGTATGTTTTCAATAAATAAACACCGAAATCTCCAGCCCAAACAATCACACTCACACGATTGTCGTGACGTATTTTTGAAGTTGTTTATTTTTATTAAATGACAGACCCAGACATTCAAAAACTCTATGGTTTGCTAGAGTAGTTACTGAAATAGCAATTAATATTAGTTCTTTTACCTGTTATACCTTCGATATCCGATAAATCTGCATAAAATCATCGCCAGCACCTCTTGGTGTGCTATGCAACCAGAGACGCTACTCGTATGTGGCGGGGCGTGTGTCCACGGCTGCACGTATCGCGTGAGCGGCTAGCGGTGTTCAAGGCTCTGCAGCGTCGCCTCTACTAATTCGTAATCACCTATAAGCCTCTTGCCACGCTTGTCTATTGAATCTTCTAACGCTTCATAAAATGCACACTATGTTTAATGGATCCATTACACTATATGACATAAAAACCCTGTACAAACGCTTAAAAGCAACTTAATAAAATACGATTCAAAGCAACAATAATAATATAATTTTTCCGTTGCTCAACTCAGTTTCACGTCTAACGCTCAAAGTCGAAAATCCGCCTTCGTGAGTAAACACGTGTATACCAATTTGCCTAATTTAATGTTTTTAACGCCCGTTGAAACAACGCTCGTGTGAATGAGGCCTAAGGCCTACGGTTCTATGTGCGTGGGCGCCGGTGAAGTGAAGTTCCAAAAATTTTTTCGTGGGGGTGACCTACGAGGAACTGCCACAATAACACTTATAAAAAATCGTTATATTTACACCAAATAAGAAATAAATTATACACACGACCCAAATTAATAAAATTTGTAGTTCACAGTTCAACAGAAACAAATAGGTAAAAATTTAACAAAAAGTTTAATTGAAAGGTTACATAGATTCGTAGTAGACACAATCATAGTCAAATCATTAATTTTAAATAGACCTATTTATCACCAACGCATTTAAATTGTCGTATTATTTCCAGCTGCAAATTATCAATAAAGATCAAATTACTTAACTTTGTCACAAATAATTTATAAAATTAGTTTACATCTTTAAAGGGAATAAAAAAGTATTATCAACACAATTTTTTGATAACTTGACTAGAAAACTAAAAATAATAAGTGGTCGTGTGTAGTCTACGGCAGGTAGCCGTAATTATCAGCACCATTTACAGAAACTGAGTCTGATGGAAGATCTGCGACATTTTCCGCTGGTTTCCAGTCTTCAGTGGGTGTGAACAGCGCTTTGCCTCGCTGAAAAATGAAAATAATTTGTGAATAAAAATATTAAGCTGGCGCTTAACATGCAGCTGTAGTCAGTGTTGAAAAATGTAAATTAGATTATTGTTTATCGTTTGTTTCGAAGAAAATATCGCATAAACATTGTAATATTTATAAATAAAACCTCCTCGGAGACTTGTCAAGTGTCTGATCAGTTTTTGGGCAATATTTGAACATAGCACATTTTGAAAGACAAGTTCTTTTTTGTAAGTCGAGTAGTGTGGAAATTCATGTTAATAAAAATCGACGTAAAATAAAAAATTATGCGAACTCGGGGAAGGTTTGAATCGTGCAAAATATGTGCGCTTGTATTGAATTTTTTAATTATTTTTTTTATAAATAACGCACACACTCAACATAGCCCCGCACTAGGGAAACCGCGTGTCGCGGGTGCTATGGACACACACATAGACAAGCACAAATTACACCCAAACTCACGAGAGAAATAATTGTAGGCCATACAACTATTTCTCCCGGACCGGGAATCGAACCTGGGACCTTTGCGTGGCTGTCCGGCATGGTAACCGTTCGGCTACGGAGACAGTTTTTCATTCAATATAATTTTTCCATCCTACGTCCGCATAAACATAATAAAATGAACGCATTTATATATTTCATTTATTTAAGCATAGGGAGGGTGGGGAATTAAATTAACGTAAACATGAAAAAAAATATTGATGGGAGGTGGTTGTCGTCGCCCACGGACATCTGCAACATTAGGTACGCTACCTATGCATTGCCGTAGAGCGGTTACTCACGGCGGCTTTTAACATCGATACAAAGGCAATGTAAACGCGATGCAGTAGCCATGCAGTCGCTAATCGTCTGCCTTTACACATGTGTCTTTAAGCAGCGATGCAAACGCGATGGAAACGCGATGCAAACGCGATGCAAACG